TTCGCGTACGCAGGTCGAAATGCGGATGACGGATTTGCCCAGGAGCGAGACCGCAGCAGTCCATGAGTATGTCTTTGGGCACGGCGGGGATTTCGCGCGTGCTTGCGCAGCAGCTTCCCTGATACGCGACTTAACACAACTTTGCCCTTGCTTATGCACCCACCCCTTCCATGTGCGTTTGCGCAACAGCTTCCCTGTTGCGCGACTTAACAGAATTTAGCCCCTGCTTAAGCACCCACCCCTTCCATGTTTGCTTGCGCAGCAGCTTGCCCGATGCGCGACTTAACATAATTTAGCCCTTGCCTACGCACACACCTCTTCTGTGTGTGCTTGCGCAGCTTCCCTGATGCGCGACTTAACATAATTTAGCCCTTGATTAAGCACCCACCTCTTCCATGTGTACTTGCGCAGAAGCTTGCCCGATGCGCGACTTCACATAATTTAGCCCTTGCTTAAGCACCCACCTCTTCCATGTGTCCTTGAGAACAGCTTCCCTGATGCGCGACTTAACAGAATTTAGCCCTTGCTTAAGCACCCACCTCTTCCATGTGTCCTTGAGAACAGCTTCCCTGATGCGCGACTTAACATAATTTAACCTTTGCTTAAGCACCCACCTCTTCCATGTGTGCTTGCGCAGCTTCCCTGATGTGCGACTTAACATAATTATCTAGCCCTTGCTTAAGCACCCACCTCTTCCATGTGTGCTTGCGCAGCAGCTTCCCTGTTGCGCGACTTAACAGAATTTAGCCCCTGCTTAAGCATTCACCTCTTCCATGCGTCCCATTGAAAAGACGGACTTGGAACAGCCTCAGATTACGTCTTCAGGGTTACCTCTGCTAATTGCCTCCTTTCCAGAACTTCTTTATCCAAAGTGCCTTTGCTGCCCTACATGATGTGTTGCCCTCGCAGCGTTGCCGCGGAAATCCGCTTGATGGCTATGTGACGTTACACAGCCAAACTACCAACAGGTCTGGATTAGCAACTTGATACTGATTGGATGGTTCTTCGCAAGGTTCGTAAGGCGTAGCTAGCAGCGGAAAAAACAACCGCGGTGTTGTTCCATCGCTGTTGGGGTCTGTTGCTGAAGTGTTGCTGAGATAATGTTCCTGATGTCCATAGCAAGATGCGGGCATCAAACTCGCAAAATCAATGAATTTGCCCTTTGGTTCCTTGTCCAATCTTGGGAAATTCGTGCTGAAGGCATGTGCAGAGCATCAGAATCATGCGCTCCTTCCGTGGTCTAAGAGTCTTGCAAGGAACTAAGGCAAGGAGTACAGATGACAGGTTTGGGGCTTTTGGGGCTTTTGGGGTCTGTAGTCTGGTTTGTATAGCTGGCTGGCTATCACTCACACGAGGAAGCTATCTTCAGAATATTTCTTTAAGGGTTCCATTCTTCATCTGCAAGGCGCGCTCAAAGTCAAGCGTGCAAGAGCTTATCTGCCATGCTGGTTATATTGCCATGTGGCCGCTTGGATGGAGTGAGTTGCGGGTCCCAGGTGTGCGCATAATTCCTGCCTGGATTTGACTTGGAGCAGATCGTGCTGCCAAGGTCCTCCACCGATGGTTTCTGGGCTTGCGGCTACTTCTGGCCAGCCACCGTGACCAGTGTGGTTCAATGCTTAGTCGCACACGGTGCTTCCGTCGTCTGTCTGCATATGCAACGCCCAGATCATGTTTGTGTGCGAAAGCAAGGTTACTTTGATAATGATTGCTGCTAGCACTGTGGACGATTGCAGCCGGATGACGGACCACATGGATCGAACGGATGTTGTTTGGATGCTTTGGTCCTGTGGCCGCAAGACTTTGAACAGCTAATGTCGCCAGTGAAGCCAATCAAGCGTCATTCCTTGTACACTGCTATCATCAAAGGGTTCCAAGGCAGGTCTGCCGAGCCGCTCTGCAGCGCATGCTCATTGTAGACGTTACCATCAGGACGCTTTCCAACTACACTTGGATTTTGCTGGAGCTTTCCTTCAAGGCCTTAACCTCAGATCAAAGTTGCTCGTGAGAGAAGGGGTGATTCTTGCTCATACATCGTGTGCAAGCCTTTGCTGGGCAGGATTGGCTGCCTTGTCGATATTTGGCAACAATGATTTGTCTTCAGTCGCTGGCCCTGCTGGCGGTGAGTTGGCCACAATTTCGGCTACGAGAGGAGGAGGAGGCCCGTGCGTGGCACACACCAAGTCCTGTGAAAGATGCCAGGCTGTTCGGCTCCTGCATGCATGTTCAATGGAAGGATGTCAATGGTGAACCTGGATCTGCCCAGTGGCCAGATGAATTGGCAGCATCCTTGAGAAAAGCCGATTCCTTGTTACACGTTGGCTAAGTAGCCATTCTTGGGGCCAAGCGTCCCTTAGACATTCATCTGCATCCCTATCCGCTCTTGTGCTTTTCGGGGCCTTTAGCTGAAAAGTCCTAGTCCCAGGGCAATGTCACTGGAGGCAGTTGCTACTGTGTACAAACCGGCAACAGCCTAAGCTGTAGAAACTGCAGCTGCGTGCGTGCGACAGTTGCACGAAAATCTTGCCACAAAAACAGATGGAGACAATGCGAGAGGGAGAGAGAGAGGGTGAAGAAGAATAACAATAACTTAATCGCTTATGCGAGACCGCCTCGGCGAGTGTGGTCGGGGCGAGAGAGCGTGCTGGCAGGCTCAAGCATCTCAGCGGGGCACAAGCGCGCAGGGCCCCAACGCCACCCCAAATATTCTGGCGCCTAGGGGAAGTCTGCATTTCAGAGCCACGCCAGCCTGCGCGGAACCCTGCAGACAAGTCTGCCCCCCCTAGAAACCGGAAAAACCAAAAAAGCAAAAGCCGTAGGCTCAGGGTTAACTGACTGGCTCCGGCCCTCGGATCTAAACGCCCCAGCCCCAGGCCTCCAGCCTAGGCGGATAAGAAGAAGAGAGCGTGGAGACTCAAACAAAAGAGGCATTCAAGAAGGCATTTTCAGTGTATTTAATTGGAGTCCAACATGTCTCAGGTTCGTGACACTTGGGGCTCTCCCACAGCCTGTAGAAGCAGAAGAAGAGGAGAGCGGCTGGTAGCGCTGCCGATGCCAGGTGGCTCCAAGGCGTGGCTGAAGGTTGCTGGAGGACAGAAGTCGGAGGCATCCCATGCCAGCCATGATGCTTCTAGTTATGCATGGAGTGTACTTGGAGGTTCTTGTGGCTGTGGCCCAGCAGGCGGAGGGACGCTTCATGTCAGACTCTGCATGACATCATCACATCCCTAGCAATTTGCAAGCATCAACTCATTTAAGGCTTGAGATTGGAACGTATTGTGGCTACTCGGCAATACGGCTTGCTGCAGCAAAACCTGGTGTTCTTGTGGTGCGGGAAGCTGAGCCTTGCCAGTTTGCGGCGGGGGAAATCATCTTTTGCTGACCTCCACTGCAAGGACATTGGAGGCAGATCCTGTTCATGACTGCAGCTCAGTTTTTGGAAGTGTTTGCATGAGTCGTGTTTTGCCAGTATGTGTCAGAACAATCGTGGAATATTGCAAGATTCTCACAACACGCCACGTTCGTTTACCAAATTTGTCTAGACATATTTGGATAGTGTTTGTCTTTGCGGAGGCCTATGGAGCTTCTTCAAAGGAAGGCTACCCTGGAATTGTCAACAGGATGTGAGGAAATCTCATGAACTTGTAGCTTTCCTCAGGCTGCTTATGCAGGCTGAGTCGGCCTCGAAGAAGTAAGTCTCTAAAGTCTGGGGACCGCTACGGGTAAATCAGTTGGTTTTACAAAATTGAGCGACAATGCACTGCACCAACAGGTTTCGCATAAGGCCTTATATTTCGTTTGCGAAAAGCTGCGTCTTCTCCCCCATCCGAGGCAGTCATAGCTCGCTCAATCATAGCCTTTGCCGGGCTGACATTTCGTGTGGAAGAACTGTCCTCAGTTCACCAGCATCACGCCATCTCCAGCAAGGTGAGTGTAGCCAAGGTTTGGACTGGACACAGCCGCGAACTACTCCCCTACCTACCAAGCCATCTGCCCAGCCCATTTCTTCTTAGTCCGAGCTAGCCATTACAATAGTACATGCAAGGCAAGTATGGTGGTGTTTGGGTCTTACGAACAGCTTCAGTTCAAAGACAGGCGAGTGCATGAAAACCCTCAGCCCAAGGAGTCAAGTGGCGGATTTGGCCTTGTGTTCATGGATCAGCGAGGCTCCAGATATGAGGATTGTGCCTGCATTGCCTGCAGAGATGGATGAAAGGGGGAGCTGCTTATCAAGGGTAATCGAGCAGCGAAACTTCCTGGTAGGAGGACCTTGCCACACTGGAACGTCTGATGCTGCTTCGGCCTGGAGTGCCTTGGTTTGCAATGCGCTTGTTCCCGTCATACCGTCCGTGGCTTCATGCTCAAGGCAATCGTTGTGGTCACTGCCTTAGCACTGTGGCATCACGAGGTAGATTGCAGCCTTCAGCCGCCTGCAGGCTGACAACGTTCTCAAGCCCGGTGCTCCGCTTTTCCTCTGGAAGGTCTGTAAGTCCTCAAAGTATCAGACGCAGGCACGTCAGCCGTTTTGCCTGACAACGGCCCGAAACTGCCTAGCAAGGGCGAGCTGTAGACAGGTCATCCGAGTAGATGAGTTTGCGATGCCTGTCGAGGCTGTAATTCTGCAGTTCAAAGTGACGTGGCAGATTTTCCACCCTGCAGGACTGGATGTCAGTCAGCCGACTCCAGTGTGCACAGCCTGGAGCTCATGACCCTCCTCTCACCCTGGTGAAGTTGAGCCAGGCAAGCTTAGGTGCAGCTTTGTGTGCCCCCATGCATGTTGGCCTGCTAGGCTGCGGATGTGATGCGTAAGAAGGCTTTTGCCTATGTCTGACAGTTCGTCGTGCACGCGAAGAGTGTTGAATCTATCATCGCATGAGGCGCAGACGCCAGGAGGCAGGCGCTGTGCACCTGCAACTACGCTCTGAGAGTGGTACTGGAATAGAAGCTCATAGGTGTGAGCTTCTCCGAGTGGGCAGCGTTTGCGAAGCAGATGTGCCTGGCCATGAACAGAACCTGACATCACAGGCTGTGTTGATGCATCCGGCAAGCACATCTCAGGCGAGACGGTCTTCGTCATTGCGGCATTGTATCCACCCAGGACATTCCAGGGCTCCAGAACCATATGGCGACGTGCTGGAGAGGGACCGGCAAGCGCAATGAAAAAGGGGCAGATGAAGCCTGGGCTAGTTCGTTTCCGTGCATGCCTAGGCAGAACCACATCAACCCCGGGGAATTAGTTGTGCGCGGCATTCCAAGCAGATGGTCCATACAGACTTTGCTACACGGAGCTCTCAAACAAGTGAGGCAGCATGCAGGCAGCGTGCAGGCCTGTTATGTTTTTGCCTTTTACTCTATGTTAATATGTTGTTTCTTCTCCAGGATCCTCCCGATTCTGTGGCTGCACAGCATCTTGATCTGATGCAAAGAAAGAGACCTGAAAAGCCTGGAGCCAGTGCACAGACGAAATGGACAGCAAAGGCAATAGCAACAACATGCAACCTAAACCTCAAGATCGTGAAATGTTCAGTTTTCCGCCCATGAAGCCGAAAACCTGAAACAGCGACTTCAGCTTCAATCCTGAGACTGTCAAGTGTTCACATGCCCACAAAGCCACTTGCACCTGCTGATACCAAACCCCATGTGAACCCAACATGGCGTCACATGCAAGCAGCCCCGGGTGCTGAATTCGCTAGCTGTTCTTGGCGTGCATATTGCTTCGAAATCGTTGTGGCGTCGGCCCAAGGGTAGCAGGATGTGGCAGGAACAAAAATGACAACGGCCGGTTGTCTACGGGCTATGCCAAAGCCAACAAGCAAGCATGTACAAGTATTTCAGCCAAGCGCTTCACATGGAGCCAGTTTTAGGAGACAATGTAAGCGGGATGATCATACAAGAGTTATAGGATGGATCAGCCGGAGGCCAAGCTGGCATCGAGACGTCATTTGTACAATCTGCGTGTTGTCAGCTTTGACTGCCATCATTTAGGCGTAGGAAGCTGCTCTTCGCCTACAAGGCTGTTTGCCGCATGATGAAAACAGGTGCTGCAGAGCCATTGCCCAACATGCGGAGGTGAGAAGCGAGCAGGTCAAGACAGGCAGTCGTGGCCTAAAACAAGAAAACTCGAGGGCTGACCTGACAAGGTATTTTTTAAAGCAAATGTGACTTCAAGGCTTACCCATGAGTGCAAGCCAAGCCGGCAGAGTGTGTAGGTGCCCTGCACAGTGGGATCCATACTGGCGCAGCTTCGAAGGCCTCAGACAGGTTTGTGCTGGTTCACAGTTTCTTTTTTAAATCTGGAACTTTCAGCCAAGTCAGTTCAGCACAGGTGCCGCAACTCCCAAGGATTCCCAGCCTGGGGACCCACAGAGCGCAGCACCCTTGCTTTTTTAGCATGTGCTTTGTGTTGGAGGTCTTGTTCCAAGATCGAGCACCGCTCTGCAAGGATTGTTTTGGTATCAGCCTTGCAGGCTCAGGTTGATTTTTGAGATTGAGGCAAGGTCCACGTTGCTGAGTTGTCGCGCAAAGATGCCAAGTTATCACCTTCGAATACAGTTTCTTTTGCAGATTGTTGTGATTCGATGGATCGCGCCAAGTCTTGTGCATGTAAGAAGGGTGTTGGCTGGTCAAGGAACGACAGCTCCGATGTGTCCAGATCAGTGCCAGGCGTTGTTAGAGATCCAGCAAGTTTTCACCCCAGGACAGTTTGCACCTGGAGGAATGGCGATGACATCGAGTGTGTTGAAGTTGCCCCTATTGTCCCCTCCCAAGATCAGTGCTTGGGTGCCGTGACTTACAAGACAGAAAGCCTGAGGCCGGAGAGCCAGCTGTCTGATGCAGAGGCCCTTGTTCTGGCTGCAGCCACTGCGAGCATGGCTCCCAGCCTCCAGACATGAAACCCAGAGTTTTGACCCTTTGGATGTTGTTGCTCCAAGGCCAGTCCATGGCAGCGATTCCCGCTTTTCCGACTGCAAGAGCATTCGCAAGGCGAGCTGCAAGCAAGAAACTGGTTTGCAACATGTAGAGTCGTTTGCGCGTAGAAGAACCAGTCGTACCACCTTGTACTGCAAGTCGCGAGAGGTTTGGGATGAGCAGATCCGAGTCTGAAGGCATCTTGCCCAAGCGACGTGCAGCCACGGCCTTGCTTTGAGTACTTTCAGAACCTCATCAAAGGCCGTGTTCTTTATTCCAAATGGCACTAGGCAAAAGCCAAATGAGAGGCAGAGCGATTCAGATACTGCCAGCTTGTGAACAGCAAGATGTGTTTTAGATCCTGTTAGCCGCCAAGCTCATTGAGGCTCGTGACCAAATTTTGGAGAAGACGGCGTCTCAGAATGAGTGTCTGGTCCGGTTGTCTCGTCTGACCATATGCAAAGTGCTGAGCATAGTCAGGCTTGCGCTATCCGACCAAGACAAGTCCAAGGACTTCAAGCTTAAAGCAAATGCATCATCTTGCAGAAGCCACTTAGCAGAAGAGGAGCTGCCGAGCTCTAGAGCCACTCGTTGCTCGGCTGAAATTCTCAGCTTCAGTTGAAACACTTTTGAGAGCTCAGGTGGTGCTAGCAGGGGCAAGGCAGCACGGAAAGAGTCCTTCAAGGCAAGGCCGGCTCCACACGCGAGACGCGTGGCCAGACGAGGGATCTCGGCCTCTTTTCAAACCGCAGGAAGTCTCTGCCCTACTTCAAATCACCCGGGCAGCGCAAGAAATTTGCCCGGCTCTGAGCAAGATTTTTTCAATCTCCTTCCCTGGAGGGAGCAAAAAGAGAGGGCTCACTCTCGAGGCCTGCAGCTTTCTGAGCAGAGGCACTTTGCCCTTTGCCCAACCAGAGAGCCTTTTCAAAACAAGCATGGCAGCTGTGCAGCATGCGACCGCGGTGCATTTTGGCAATATTTCTGCTTGCAGCGAGTTGGATTCGATGAGCCACAACAATCCGAATAACGCCCAAGATTTGGCATCAGTCTCGTAGGTAGCATTGCAGCTTTTATGTGTGGTGTGCGCAAGCAATCCAAGAGCCCATGAGCACCAGCCTGCCTGTCTCGATTTACGTCACTGGTTTTGGCCCGTTTATGGGAGTGGACGACAACCCTTCCTCTGTTCTCTGTGAGACCCTGCACCGATACGTGCAAGAAGGCACTCCTCCCGAAGATGTCCCTGCAGAAATCCTGAAAGACTTCGAAGCTGCAGGAGTGTCTCTCGAGGGTTTACGTGCACTTGACGTGGCTGCGGAGGCTTGCCAGAGGGAAGTTCCTGCAATTCATAGCCATCTTCGTACAAAGAAGGAAGACGACCCCAAACAAGCAGCAGCTGTAGTGCATTTGGGTGTGGCCGCTGATCGCAGCCACATCAGCCTTGAATGCCGCGGGGTCAATGAGGCAAACTTCCGGATTCCTGACGTGTTCGGATGGCAATGTTGTGGCGAACCTGTTGTGCCAAGCTCCCCTCCTGTTCTCTACTGTTCCCTCCGCCTTCCCGAGATACTGGCAGAAATGCACGACAAAGATGTCAGCTGTGAGATTTCGACAGACGCAGGAAGGTATATATGCAATTACATTTTCTATCAGTCATTACATGCCGCAGCCCCGCATGGTGTCCCTGTCCTCTTTGTGCATGTGCCGTCCTTCAAAGACATGGTGCAGCCGGTTCAGGCGCCTCACATTCCAAAAGTGTTTTCCTATGCATGATGCAGTGCAGTCCTCGTGATTGAAGCTTGAGGAACTTGCAACTTCTGACGAGGTGAGAGCCCTTCTTTGCCTCTTCATTGCTATCGCCCGCCAGCTCCGTGGAGATGCGCCCTCGGTCCCCGCACCATCCACGCGACTGCTGGGCTGACGTGGCCTTGCCCGACCCATGCTGCTCTCAGAAAAAGAGCAGTGCTGGAACATTCGCCATCGCATCATTGCCTGAGGACTTCAAATCTTGTTCAATGCCATTTTGTCAGGCAGCACGAATGCGATGACGGGTTGGGCAGCGCCCTAAGTGGAACCTTCTTGAAAGCATTTTACGCATGTGCAAGCCAGCTGATATTGAAGCAGATAAGTTGAACGTGGTAGTGCAGTCACCGAGGAGGGATGCATGCTGGGTTACAGGTCATCACCTCATGCAAGATAGTCTTAGCAGCTAAGTCTTTGCACGAGGATAAAGACGTTCAAAGCTTATGCAGTTTGAGAGTGCTAGGGCCTGTCTCTTTCGTCTCGTCGATAGCAGGTGAAGGAAAAGTTGCCGTAGAGGCATGTGCGCAGGAGCGTGTTCAAAACTGTGCTATTTTCAACACAAGAGCTCACTGGCAATTTTCCGTCTGCAGGGCCTGCACACTTGGCTTTACGGGGCAGAGTCTTGGAGGACCACTTTCTCTTGTCGGCGCAAACGCGAAGCTTTTCATATCAAGTGCTGCGGGAAATCTGCCAAGATCTGCCAAGTCTATAATATTTGGGATCAGGAAAATTTGCATGTAAACCATGCTGCGCCAGCTCAGTTTTGGGTTGTCCCCACCATCCGACAACTCATGACGCAGTTTTACCCGAGATGGTTGGCGGATCTTGCGCGTATGCCGCCCGAACGGATTCCGCAAATGACAGTATCTGTCTTTTTGCCAGTGGAAGTTGGCACGCCAAAAGAAGACATGGACTTTGTCAATGTTCCTGCGCACGCTTGGATGCTTATGGCTCCTAGAAATGAGGACTCTAGGGCGGCTCGCCTACCGGACGCAGTGCACCTCCTGTGAGGGACTTAGAGTCTGGACCGATCATGCGGCCGCAAAAATGACAAAAACCGCTTTGGGGAACTTGCGGAGGAGAAGCACAGGGAACTTGAGCAACTTCAGTCGGAATCGGGCTTTCTGTCCCGTGAACTGCGGTGTGGCGGGGAGGATGTCCTGAGAAATGAACTGTCATGTTTGTCATGTTGGTTCCAAAATCAAATGGGTGAGGAATGGTGGGCGTGCAGTGATCGTGACCGTTTGGACTTACTTTCGGAGATGGGGGCTGGCTTTAGTGTGTTTTTGATATCGACATTGGTTTGTACCTGTCTGCTATTCATACTACTAAGCATGCAGCAACCCAAAAACTTGGTATGCAACGTGCTGAAGTGTCAGTGGATATGTTTCATAGGCGACTCGTTACAAACAACCGTGGCCGCCAGCGTTTCCTGAACCAGTGCCAATAGTTGTAGAGAATCCTCCTGCAGCCCCGTTGTTGCTCGGTGACCCATAGGTTACTGGAATGCGTGCGCCCAAGTCACGACAACAACCGTCGTATCGTGTTGATGGTGAGGGCGATTTTGTATGTGCCGTTTGCAATAGGATTTTTCATTATGTTTTCATGATTTTCCATCATGTATCTCACATTTTTCGTCATATTTCATCGAATTTCATCAAACTTCATAACTTCCACATCTTTTATCAGATTTCACAATTTTGCATCACATTTCATCATATTTTCATTTTTTCATTTCATCATTTTAAATCCTTTTTCAATATTTTCATTATTTTTCATTGCTTAGAGTTTGCAGGGCATGTAGTAGGGGATTTCTGTGGTGAACAACAAAACCCTTGGATTTGAGAATTCTTCTTTTTTGATTGAAGACACATTTTTAGGGTGCTCATTCAAAGTCAATGTAGTAAATAAAGGTTTTTTGTGAACAGAAACCAAGAACCTCAGGACTTTCGCTTTCCTTTCAATGTGAAGTATATTCTAGATTTAACAAGGGGTTTTGAGAGGAGAATAGCAGGAGCACATAATCAGAGCATCTTGCAACTTCTCAACCATTTTAATTAGGTGTGTTGTACTGAAAATGCAGGGCAAAGGATATGAGACGTCTTCCTCAGAATTGGGACACATATAATATCTCTCGGAATCCATTGGAGTATTACAGGTATGGCTCATGTGTTGGGAAAAGAAAATACAGGAACTGTTGCGACAAAAAAAAAGAATTTCAGACTCCTTGGAGACTAAGACAATGGAGAAGGAGCATACCACATATTAAATACCCTTCAACCGCATTGTAGCGAATGGTATTCCCTAAGGATATGTTCTTCTTAAAAGGAGGAGTGCAGTAATGATTATGATGATGATGATGATGGTAAGGTGTGTGGATTAGCCGCCCAATTCCCAAGACCCGCGTGGTATAAAAAAAGGCGCACAGTAGCAAAGCGGGCCACCTCCGGAAAGCTTCCTTCTCATGCCATGGCTCATCGTCGCTACCTCGCCTATCCATACCAAACGAGTGGTTTATGGCGTACACATCCCGTCCTATCCTCATCAGGGCCACTACCAGATCCCCCTCACAGAGCCGACCTACAGTGCTACCCTACTCACAGGTAGGGGTGAAACCCGAACACGCTGTCCTTACTGTCGGCCTTTGCCGCGTCCGCGGCCTCGGCCTCTTCCATCCCGGTTCCCCCGCCCCTTACCCTTAGGCTGCTCCTGTCCGGCCCTTCTTCCCCTTCGTTGCTGCTCTTCCAGGGTCCGGTGGATGTACATAGTAGTGGGATTCACCTCCCGCGCGTCACGGCCCCCCCGGTTGATTTGATTCAAGTGTTTGCCTAACCCAGCCTGCAGAGCACGTGCAACGGAGAAGCTCAGATCCCTAAACTCCAGCTTGAAAACAAAATGACCCTCAGCCCGGTTTCTCTGGCGGGTGTTAGGGTCCCAGGTGGCCCGCAGGCGATTGGGCATGCAAAAGCGCGTCCCCACGAGGAGTGCTGGTACAAAGGCCCACCATGCTGTAAGAACATGCCCCTCAGGTCTGTTACCAGCGTCAACGTTCCATTGCTCAGGGGTGCACGCGGGTAGTGGGAAGGGGAGGTTCATTTTTTGGAGCCACCTCCCGGAGTAAGGCTTCCGCTGAATCACGACCCACTTTCTTAAACTCTCTCGTGTCTTCACCAGCCTTGTAGATCTGTTCTACGGCGGCTGAGTACTCAATCACGAAGGAAGTACTGCGGTCCATTCGGTCCACGTGCCTTGCTTTTCCTGCACCCGTTTTACTTCCTCTAGGCCCTTTGAAGCTCCCCGATCTTCCTTTTGCTCGATTGTTCCGACATGCTACCAAACTGCGTCAGAGCTGGATAGCCTAAATGCTGCAAAGCTGTCACAGGGATGTTCCTTATGAAGACATGTTCAATACCTAAACTTTCATAATCTGTTTCCTTCCACGGGCTCGAGGCACCGTGTGCGCAAGACAGAGGCTTGCTCTGTCGTGTCAGGAGACTTGCTCCCCCCTGGCTGAAGGAACTACTTATATAGCCCGGAAACATCTCTCACGAGAAAAAACCCGTCGATCCCTTACAAACCCGCAGATAATCGACGTCAACATTTTGCTCCTAACCCAAACCCACCCATCCTGATGCCTGGACCGCGTCATGCGTGGTCAGGCAAGGAACGTGTCGCGCAGCAACCCGCTACATCCAAGCACCCCTAACCATCCCCCTGTTGGGCTCGTGGCCCTACAGAGCTGGACCACGTCGTGCGCGGTCGGGGAGGGACCGCGTCCCGTCTCTTAAGCTGACACCCCCGGAAACATTTACTTCCTCTTTCCTGTTCCCCATATCACTTCCTATGCCCCACCGCTTTCTCACACCCGTGAATCAACCCCTCACGCCTGGCACCTGGCTTCATGATTTTTCCGTGCTTGGATGCTCCCCAAAATCTTGTTGCACCTCGCGCACGTTCGATTGGCGGGGTCGGGGCCCCTACAAATTTCCTGATGGCGTGGAAGATTTGCCCTCGTCATAACCACCCCGCATGATGGGCACGCACCCTGCGCCACCGGTCCCCGGTTTACCCTCAGTCGCGGCTGAACCGGACAGTCATGCAGCCACCGGCGTTTCTCATTACGCCAGTACTGTCCACACGCCTCACACCTATACATTTCAACAGTCATTTTGGTGGGGCCCGCCACCGTGTGTTGATCAACACAATGCGCCACCAGACTGTGACTCTTTGCAAAGCCCTGTGGACATATGGGAAATTGGTACAAGCCCGTTTCTGCACTACGGAGCGTATAGCGCTCGCGTTTTCGCTCCTCATGTCTAAAACGCCCTTCTGCCACGGTTGGAGCTCCCTGACCCGAAGACCATCGGTTCAGGGCCGCCTGCTGTTGTCGATCACTAACCGTTATCGGGGAGGTTGCCAACACCACCCGCCGATCCTGCGCAAGCCGGAACCAATCCAACTCAGTAGCCTGTATTTGGGCTATAAGGTACTGTAGCCATTGCTGCTGCCGCATGGGAGGGCGCATTGTGGTCATGTGACCCTTCCACCAACCAAACAACGCTCGCTTAGGAAGCTGCTCAGTACCCGTACGTGCCACGTGACCCAGCCAAAACAAACTTTGACGAGCAATTGTGAACTCGAACGGTTCTCATTGCGAGGCATCGCATAGGGTATATCACGCGCTGTCACGCGCTTCCCGGGTAGCTCAAGGGGGGTCGGTTCAGCAATTCTTGCAGCCTGAGTGAATCCCGTATGCTGAGCTCATACAGCTTTTGTCTAAAGTCCCCCTTGAGTAGATAGAAGAAGGCTGTGGGTATATTATAAGAAGATCCCCATATACCCCACATTCTATCCACTTAGGGGGACTGTAGTCTACCGGGTGTCCTCATCAAGCCTAACCTCGGCACTCCAAGTCTACACATAATACCAACTGTGGGACCTGAAGTCTGTAACATTTCCTTGGAGCCTTAAGGTTTCAGGGTTTTTGGGTTGAAGGTTTGGGGTTCAGGTTCAGGGTTTAGGGCTAGAGCCAACCCTAAACCTGCGGCTGTTGACATGGAAGTCATGCATCCATTGCTTCCGCACTTGGAAGCATCTGTGAACCGCATACTTGGAGGGTCAGGGGGACTTAGTAAGTAGCTTAATAACCCCTATAACCCACATAGTAACCCTAGTTACCCCTCTTCTTAAACTATTTACTAAGTCCCCATGACCTTCAAAGTAGTTGATTGCCCGCTGTAACTTTGCAATATG